GTACGTACGTACGTACGTACGTACGTATGTACGTACGTTCGTATGTCAGCATTTTTTTCGTTTTCGATATCTCAAGAACGGATTGAGATATCGCCCTCAACCAAAATTTTTTCGAAAGATATTATCATAATGAAGATCTGAAAGAAATTTGAACGAAATCGGTCAAGCCGTTTTTTTTTTATAAAAAAAAAACGAATTAATTACAAACAATTTAATTAAAATACGTTCTAATCTAATCACAACAATGAAGTTACGGAATCAATAATAACTGTATTATCTAATGGGAAGTTAGTCGTATTAGCACCGACCAAAGCGTGCTCAGACCAATTTTTTCTTACCTATTTTATGCAACCGCTTCTCAACGCAGCCATTTTTGCATGAAAAATGACTGACGTCATCCTCAAACTAAAGACGATCATTTCTAAGCCGTCTTAGTTTTATGTATCGTCGGTTTTAAAAGAATAATAATTGAGGAACGCATTTTTTGTTTTGGAGTTCTTTTTTTTTACGACTTATCGATCAAAACACAAAAATAAAGATCGTAAAGGCTAAACGACACAGTTGAGGCAATTTTATATATGAAATGGGAACTTACAGGGTAATTTTTTGGACTTATCACACGTTACATAAAAAATCGTTTTTAAAAAGATAAAAATTTCGTGAGCACTACCTTCGCCTTAGGTTTTGGCAGAAAAAAGTTGACAAAAATGTAGACATTTCTTTGCTAAACATTTCAAAGTGGACAGGTGCTTTTTCTGTTTAATTTTGTACAAAGTCATAAATCAATCACATGTTCTTTGTAAACAATTAAAGAATTAATTAATTACTTGATCAGTACAAATGCCAAACAGAAAAAATTAACAAAACGACAATTCATTGAAAAGAGCAAGAGGCTTTTTTCGAACCGACTACAAATTGTAGTGCAATTTCTTGTAATACTGGTTGTATGCATATTTTTCATTATTTATTATTTTTTAAATATACTGGCAGTATGGTCGCTTTTGTTGTCACAGGTTGAGTTCACACTTGTACTTATTTCTGTTACATTGGCCTTACGATTAGTATTAGTCAACTGACCAGTTGGTATATTTAAGACACATCAAGTAAATTTAAAGTTTGAGAAATAAAAGAGAAAACAGGATAAACCCTTTCATTAAATAAAAGAAAGAGTAGGTATACCTAGTCATTTATCTTTTTTTTCTCTTAAAATGTAATGTATATGTTATAAAAGCACTAAACTTTCTTTTTTTTTTATAGGTCATGGAATACTTCATGTACCAAGAGCCCCAAAAACTCCAATGAACATTATTACAATGGAGACAAACACCTAAAGCGGATGGTAAATAAAATCAATAATTTAAAATTCATTTAAAAAAGTAACAGGTTTTTTGAATGAATAATAGCCGATTAAATTTTTTTTTTTAAAGTTTGACCCCTTTTGCTATTATTCATTTATTTAAAAACGAGAAAAAATCATAATTAAACAAAGTTATTATAAAACAAGTGACTACTAGAAACATATGAATAGGTAAATCAACATTTCAGCGGTAATAACTTAGAATTTGAAGTTTCATAAAATTTATGAAGAGATTTACCTTGAATTTATTTTTAAAGTATCAATTTAGGAAAATCCAACTATTCGTTGTCATGTTCTTATTAAATAAAGTAATCAGTATACCTAGTAGCAGCAAAAATTTGATAATTACAATCAATGAATCCTACCTTTCGATGAAATCCAGTCGAGTCCACATCCATTAAAAATCCTTCTTATCACCCATAAAAATGTTTTCCCTTTATCAATTTCAGTTCGGCATGGTTAAACTAGTTCAAAATTGCAATAGAATAGGAGGGGAAGCAGGCTAATTCAAAGCAAATTTATCAAGACCTCGTAATTACCTATCACTTCCTGCAAATGAACACGAAAATTTTAATTCGTGTCAAAATATCTTAAAAAGTTGTTTGTATTTAACAAATTAGACTAAATCTTATTAAATCTAAACGTTTTTCGATGTATAATCAATAAAAACATCGGTTGTTTACTTTGAGGAAGTTATAGACAAAAGTAGGAAAAAAAATGAATTGCCAAGAAAACCTATATGCACATCGTAATCAGCAATATTTACTAATTATATTTCGATAATCACATAATTTCCAACAAACTTTGTAAGTTATAATTTTTGAATTTCTTACCTACGTTTGCAATGGCTGCATAACAAAACCTTAAATGACAGGCATGATTATTTCAAAGCCGCCGTCCTTTTATCGTACCTTTTTTGTTTAATAAAACTTGAAGAACGTTTCATTTGTTTTGGCACTTCTTTTTTTACAATTTCGAAGAATCACTCGAATTTATATATTGTTTAAATGTTTTACATTAATTTTTATGCAAAACCTATCACACGTTCGTTGTAATTAAAATACAAATTGAACATAACCAAGACGATCATATAGCTACAGTGTTTATTAATAACCTGAATTATTTTACGGAAACTACAAAATGTCGAAGCTCTTCGCGGAAATCATTGTAATTAGCAGTTTTTAAAAAATTTAATAAATTGCCAAGTACTTCGGCCATGACTGAGTTATCACAGTTAAAAATACAAAGAAAATATTAAATTATCTAAAAAATCTTTATACACATCGTAATCAGCAATAATTAATCATAAGATTTAGACAATTACATGGCTCCTAGCAAAATATTTTACAACAAAATTCTTTAATTAACTTCCCATTAGGAAGTTATTGTAATTGGGTCGAAAAGTGAAATCGGAATTTTCATTATATTTCCACGTTTTAACATATTAGTAGCATGCTAGCCAATTTTTTTGATGATGTGTGTATGTACGTACGTACGTACGTACGTACGTACGTACGTACGTACGTACGTATGTACGTACGTACGTATGTACGTACGTTCGTATGTCAGCATTTTTTTCGTTTTCGATATCTCAAGAACGGATTGAGATATCGCCCTCAACCAAAATTTTTTCGAAAGATATTATCATAATGAAGATCTGAAAGAAATTTGAACGAAATCGGTCAAGCCGTTTTTTTTTTATAAAAAAAAAACGAATTAATTACAAACAATTTAATTAAAATACGTTCTAATCTAATCACAACAATGAAGTTACGGAATCAATAATAACTGTATTATCTAATGGGAAGTTAGTCGTATTAGCACCGACCAAAGCGTGCTCAGACCAATTTTTTCTTACCTATTTTATGCAACCGCTTCTCAACGCAGCCATTTTTGCATGAAAAATGACTGACGTCATCCTCAAACTAAAGACGATCATTTCTAAGCCGTCTTAGTTTTATGTATCGTCGGTTTTAAAAGAATAATAATTGAGGAACGCATTTTTTGTTTTGGAGTTCTTTTTTTTTACGACTTATCGATCAAAACACAAAAATAAAGATCGTAAAGGCTAAACGACACAGTTGAGGCAATTTTATATATGAAATGGGAACTTACAGGGTAATTTTTTGGACTTATCACACGTTACATAAAAAATCGTTTTTAAAAAGATAAAAATTTCGTGAGCACTACCTTCGCCTTAGGTTTTGGCAGAAAAAAGTTGACAAAAATGTAGACATTTCTTTGCTAAACATTTCAAAGTGGACAGGTGCTTTTTCTGTTTAATTTTGTACAAAGTCATAAATCAATCACATGTTCTTTGTAAACAATTAAAGAATTAATTAATTACTTGATCAGTACAAATGCCAAACAGAAAAAATTAACAAAACGACAATTCATTGAAAAGAGCAAGAGGCTTTTTTCGAACCGACTACAAATTGTAGTGCAATTTCTTGTAATACTGGTTGTATGCATATTTTTCATTATTTATTATTTTTTAAATATACTGGCAGTATGATATTCATATTGCCTTTTATTTTAAAAAAATTAAATGAAAATGATTGGAAGTCACTTGTTTTATAATGTTCGAAAGCAGCTTCTTTCTTTCTATCGTTTGATTAAGTGTTTTACTAAATTTACTCTTCATTTTGTACCTACGATACATTAATTAGATATCAAAGATCACCTTTTCAGTAGTTAAATGAATACCAGAGTTTTATGTTTTTGGAAGCTGATATCATGAACAAAGACAAATAGTAATAAACGAAATAATTTCGACAAATCATGTATCTTTATTTTACCTGTTGAATCTTTGTAATTTAGAAAACAGTTGCGTGTTAAGTACACATTTTTTTTTTTATTTAGTTGTGAAACATTATGGAATGGGACAAAAAATAATGAGTAAATTGGTTTTATTAAAAAAAAAAAGAGCAAAAATCATATCACAATATGATTTTTTAAGTACGTAATTCAATTCTGCTGCCTCCCTTATTAGAATGTTCCATATTGGTCCTAGGAGTTCTTCGTTTCTTGACGAGTTTTTGTCACTTTTGTCTTCTTAGATTCTTTGTAACTTATTGTAAATAATTAATTACACTAGCACCAATACTATGATAGGCAAATAATTCAAACGAAACCCAACACTTTACACTATTTGTAGAGCATTACTTTTGTTAATAACTTCAAGAAGAAATCGTTAACAAAAAATATGTGTAGTACTAAAGTCAGTGCACATTACAAGACACCACAACTTATTTCATTTTATTTTTCAGGTCGCACTAACCACACTACATTGCAGTGTAACTCGTTAATGGCCCAACCAACCCCAATGAAGATGATTGACTACTGAATAGCAATGAAGACAATCACTTAAAGCTCATGGTAAATAAAATCAATCAAAACCACTCTGGAAAAGCAATTGGCTTTTTAAATTGATAATAGCTGATTTCGTTTCACTTGTCCAATCTTTAGTCCCTTTTTGTAATCATAAACGCAATTTTTATTATTCATTTCTTTCGAAATAACAAATGTTCAGAAACAAATGAAATTATAATAAAACAAGTGACTACCAGAAGCAGTTCGATTGTGAAATTTAAAATGTACCTTTTGATCTTTGATCGGATCCTGCTAGTTAAAATACCAATTTTCATGCCAAAATCGTTACTTCACTCCAATGTTGTTAAGATAGTTCAGGAATTTCAATAGAACAATATGAAAATAGTATGGAATGGGGCCCAAACCAACAGTAATTTGTTGATATCTCGTTAACTTCCACTTTCTGAAAAAAATACGAAAATACCTTAATTTGTCTGAAGATATCGTAAAAAACCGTTTGTATTTGACAAATCACTCGATTTATATATCGTTTAAATGTTTCCCATTAAGTTTTATACAAAACCTATCACACATGCTTTGTAATTGAAAGATGCAGGTAGATTCAAATTGAACAACATAACCAAGAGGATCATAGACACTGTATTTAACAGTGAATATATTATTTTACAGAAATTACAAATTGCAAATTGTTGCAATTTACAAATTTGGCAATTTTTGAAAAAATTAACAAATCCCAAGGACATCGACTGTGACCGAGTAAGTATAGTCAAAAATATAACAAAAAAATTCAATTACCGAAAATACGTATATGCACATCTTAATCAGTAATATTTAATGATAAGATTTAGACAGTTTTATGACTCCCAGCAAAATTAATTAACTTATATTTTTTAATTTCTTACCTACTTCATGCAATGGCTTCAGAAGGCAACCATTTTTGTATGAAAAATGAGTGACGTCAACCTCGTACGAATGACGATCATTTCTAAGCCGCCTTAGTTTTATGTATCGTCGCTTTTATAATTGAAGAACGCTTTTTATTGTTTCGGCGTTCTTTTTTTTAACGACTTTTCCATCAAATGACAAGAATTACGGCATTTATCGTTTTTTAAAATGTTTTCAAAAGATTTATAATTGGTTCTATATCAATAAAACTAAATTAAATTATTGAAATAATCACTAATAAGTAAAACAAACACCATTTAAAAGGTGTTTTAAATGGATAAAGTTTGTTATTTCGAAAGAGGGAGATGTTATAAGATAAGGTGTTAATTATTTAAACATTCCGACATTGTATTTAAAAAAAATGTTTCTAACTCATCAAAATATATATTCTTAATATTTTGCCTTATCGAAGTGCAATACTATTTTTCTGTTTAATTAAATATATAGTTAGATAAAAAAAAATCAATTCTTAATAAACTTTATTTAAACTAACTATAACCTAATTTAAGGTGCTCAGTTTGTTTTTCCCTTTCTTGCAAATTCGGTTAGGTTAGGTTACCTTGATTCTCTAATTACATATTTAAATAGAAAAAGAATTTTGCACTTTGAAGGGGCAAATTAATGAAGATACTTTAATATTTAGAAAACGTTTTTTCATGTTTTCATGCAATTTTTTATCAAATTAAAAGGCATATTATGACTTACCACACCTTACTTAAAAAAGTAAAAATTTCTTCACTTTAAGGAAAAAGTTCATTCATAATTATGCAGAAATATATTATTAGATATTTCATAGCTCAACATTTCAAATTGACAACTGAATAGTAATGATGACCATTACTTAAAATCAATCAGTTGAAACAACTCTAGAAAAGCAATTGGCTTTTTAAATTTATGATAGCTGATGTTGTTTCACTTGTCCAATCTTTGGTCCTTTTTTGTAATCATGAACGCAATTTTTATTATTCATTTGTTACGAAATGATATGTTCATAAACAAATAAAAACTATAGGTAATAAAACAAGTGACTACCAGAAGCAGTTCGATTGTGAAATTTAAAATGTACCTTTTGATCTTTGATCGGATCCTGCTAGTTAAAATACCAATTTTCATGCCAAAATCGTTACTTCACTCCAATGTTGTTAAGATAGTTCAGGAATTTCAATAGAACAATATGAAAATAGTATGGAATGGGGCCCAAACCAACAGTAATTTGTTGATATCTCGTTAACTTCCACTTTCTGAAAAAAATACGAAAATACCTTAATTTGTCTGAAGATATCGTAAAAAACCGTTTGTATTTGACAAATCACTCGATTTATATATCGTTTAAATGTTTCCCATTAAGTTTTATACAAAACCTATCACACATGCTTTGTAATTGAAAGATGCAGGTAGATTCAAATTGAACAACATAACCAAGAGGATCATAGACACTGTATTTAACAGTGAATATATTATTTTACAGAAATTACAAATTGCAAATTGTTGCAATTTACAAATTTGGCAATTTTTGAAAAAATTAACAAATCCCAAGGACATCGACTGTGACCGAGTAAGTATAGTCAAAAATATAACAAAAAAATTCAATTACCGAAAATACGTATATGCACATCTTAATCAGTAATATTTAATGATAAGATTTAGACAGTTTTATGACTCCCAGCAAAATTAATTAACTTATATTTTTTAATTTCTTACCTACTTCATGCAATGGCTTCAGAAGGCAACCATTTTTGTATGAAAAATGAGTGACGTCAACCTCGTACGAATGACGATCATTTCTAAGCCGCCTTAGTTTTATGTATCGTCGCTTTTATAATTGAAGAACGCTTTTTATTGTTTCGGCGTTCTTTTTTTTAACGACTTTTCCATCAAATGACAAGAATTACGGCATTTATCGTTTTTTAAAATGTTTTCAAAAGATTTATAATTGGTTCTATATCAATAAAACTAAATTAAATTATTGAAATAATCACTAATAAGTAAAACAAACACCATTTAAAAGGTGTTTTAAATGGATAAAGTTTGTTATTTCGAAAGAGGGAGATGTTATAAGATAAGGTGTTAATTATTTAAACATTCCGACATTGTATTTAANACTATAGGTAATAAAACAAGTGACTACCATTGTTTGTTGTTAAATTTAAACTGTACCTTTTGATCTATGATCTGATCCTTGTTAAAAAATCTACCTTTACCATAAAATCATTACTTTATTTCAATATTGGTTCAACAATTGTAATAGAACAATCTAAAAATCTTTTTTTCCTAACATAAATACTTATAAAACAGAATTAGTTGGAATATCATCTTTTCTAATATTTATTTAATTATAGGAAATAAACAGTAGTAAGGGCACTTTTCCAACTAATTTTCCTTCCATATATATTTATATTTTGAAAATAAAACGCGTTATGTTGATTAACATGCCATGATAAAGTCTTGTAATTAAGGAGAATGGTGGATGGTCGTTTTTACAGTAAAAGAAAACTTTTTTCTTTTTATTCTGACTTTTAATCAACAGTTGAAAAAGAGGGAAGTGCTTGATACATAATTAATAGTTGTATAAAATGAATTGCACTTATTTAATTTAATTTATGTTACTAACATTACATTCTAATATATTTTATTGCTTTAACGATTTTTATAATTACTGTAACGTCCATGTTTCGTCCTTATTTAGGGAACATCTTCATAGCTTGGTGGTTTCTTGTAAAAGGCAAAAATAATATACTAACGTCGCTTTTAATAAGTACAGATATGAACACAAACAATTTAGGCAGTGATATATATCTAAACAAAACACTTAACACATTGTATATAACTCTTTCTCTGTACATATAACACAGAGAATACACTTTACACTTCCAAGGTTCTGTAGGCTGCCTTTCTTTCAGGTTTCATGAACATCACGTTACAACACGATTATCCCAACCGTCTAACCACCCTCCCAATCAAGAGCTGTGGAAACCGATATCGAACAAGACCCAATGACTTACAAAGATGGAAAAGTAATCCAGCAATTGGTTAAAATCATCAATTAAAAAGTAAGTGTTTTTGTAACACATTGTAAATCGTAAGTCTTGTTAGAATTTAGGAAATGCAATAATTATTTGGTGTGAAAAGTAGTAGTGAAAAGCACTTACAAAGTTCTCGTATAGTTTCTGAATTATAACATAATCATATAGTCAAGTCTCATAATATGTAAAAGCGATTAAATCCTTTTGAATCGCATAATAAGTAAATAGTCTTTATTAATTAATTTTAAATTTTGACTACAAGTGCTACTTCACCTGTATCTGTTTTAGGAAAAGAAAGATCAATGGCAAACAAATGAGCATAAATCAAAAGATGAGTATAGAATAGTTGAACAACACAGGAAAACAGACGATTGTGGTATTAGTTTTCTTTCAAGACAGTAAGTTAACATTGCTTTGTGTTGTTCACTATGTAATAAGAAATGATCAGTTATATTGGTTGTTCTGTATTCGTTAGGTTTATCAATTTATATTGAATCTCTTAAATCTCTAGAAAAATGCTGTTCATTCGAAAATATATAGTGTTAGGTAAGTCATCTTCTTTTGTTTTGACATTATTATAAAAAGAATGCAATTGTATCAAAATACATTTTTATTTTATTTCAAAAATCCTACCTTGTGGTCCGAATACTTCTAATCAAAATGAGGACAAGAAAATCTGCCATTGCCGTAGAAAAGTTGCTTTGTCCAATGTATCCTTTAAAATTGTTGCAGTTAAGCTGGTGGTATCATGATAAAAACTGTTAGCAAGGTGGCTCGTGTTAACACCACCCATTAGTAGCTCGTAACCATAATTTTCTGTACAAAACAATTACAGTGCTTTAATTCTTTTTGAAATATCATCAGAATTAGTTGCAAAGGGCGAATTAGGTCGAGTTTTGTGATATTGAATGGATTTTTTACGTTAAATAATTTATTTGTACTTGGCTATGACCGTGGAGAGGTTTGGCAGAAATTTTGAGAAAAAAGTTATTTCCGAAAAAAAACTATATGCACATCGTAATCAGCAATATTTATCGATAAAATTTCCGCAATTGCATGACTTTCAGCAAATATTTTTAGTCAAAATTTTTATATTTCTTACCTACAAAATGCAAGGAGTCCCTCAATCGGCCATTTTCGGTGTGCTAAATGACTGTTGCATATGACCCAATCAGAAACTAACATCATTTCTAAGCACTCTTTACCAGTCTAGTGCCGATTTTTTAAAAAATAACCGGGAAAGTAAAATATTTACACAAAAAGTGGTTTATTTTATAAGATTAATGTGCAAAAAACAAATAAACACGTATAAGTATCATAAAAATCTGTAAACCTCAATCAGTTATTGGAAAACGTCTTTTAGTTATAATTTCAGTCCAATATATTTAACTTTTTTAGAAGTGATAAAATAAATTTCATTAATAACAGTTGAATAGAAAATAATCACCGTGATCATAAAGTCGTCAGTCTTAAGACTGGTTGGATACGCACCTTCACTCTTTCCTATCCTGAGCTAATCTTTGTATTTCCCTAAAACTAGAACATCCTACATCTTTAACTATTCGCCAATAATAATTTAATCTAGGTCTACCTCTACTCCTCTTAACTCCTGTTTCTGCCTCTAGTATATCTGACCAGCCAATAGACTGACAATAATTAATAAATAATATTTAGGTAAATAAAAATAAATAACCTCAAAAGCTAAAGATTGGAAACAAAATTGATCACATCTTGTGTTAGCCTTCTTATTTTTTTAATAATATAAAACAATAAATTCTATGGCATTTGTTTTATGAACTTGCTTTTTTACTTTCATTAACGGTTATATGAAATAGTCCTTTTGTATTTTTTGTCTGTTTGAAAGACGTTTTTCTTCTTTTAAACCTAATAAATATTGTAGAGAAAATGTGTTATGTCTGTAAAACCTATCTTATTTTTTATCACAAGTATTTTGAATGCTAACGTAGTGTTATAAAAATACAGTATCAAAGTATTTCAAAGCATTATTTTTATTAAACATAAATCTATAATACATTTCATGTACTTTAATTGGTATCCTCTTCTTTTTCATTGTTAATTTTTGGTTTTACATCTTCATTTTGAATTTTGTCCAAAATTGGATCAATTTTAGGTGGTAGTAGAAGTTTGATGGGGTCTATAACTTTACTCTTGTTTATAGTTAGAAGACCGTCTTTTTGTAGAGTTTGCACGGAAACTCCAAGATATGTGGCAACGCTGTTGGGTGGAAAAATCGTGTGCAAACATTTTTGCAAATAAGAGATCAAATCGTCTGCAAAGCACATACAAAATCTGCTGAAGGATTCTTTTGAATTTGCCGAAAACGCTTGATGTTCCGCATTATATAAAATAAGGATCAAGTTCGAAATGACGAGAAGAGACTCTTCCAAGCACGACATGATCTCTTCTATAATTGCGAAGGGTAGGCAGGATCGTAGTTCGTTAAAAACAATCAAAATTTGATTCAAGTACTCGGCAAGAGGATAAAATTCCAGCAAAGTTTCCGGAGGTCGTGCTGGGTCGACATCTTTACCTTTCCATGTAATGTTTGAGTGAACTTTGTTGATGAACGTAAACCTTTCTATGTTTTTTTCGAAATTAGTCGTTGCCTTTAATACTGACTCTTTGAAGGCACTTTTTATCGTTTTAACAAAGATTGGCACCATCAAGGACCTAAAATCACATCCTACCCGACTAAATGATAATCCGAAATACATGCTCTGTCCCAAAACCGTGTCCAAAGGTGACACTCCGCGATCCAAATCTTCTTCCAATGTTTTAAGAAAAATCGACACCTAGAGACGAACGCTTGTAGGATAAATAAAAATAAAACTCCGTATTAATAAAATTACCCTGTCCGATATCCAACTGAAAAATATTATATTGCAATTAGTTAATTGGTTCCTGGGGGAGGCTAAAGGACCATGCTCATCATCATTAAATATTGCTTTATATTGGGTAACTATACTGAATAAGTTAACCCTGGTTACCTCAATTGTTTTTGTAAGATGATGATAAGCTATAAAATCATTTTAATGAATACTTAAACTGATTGTAATTCTACAAACATTTTTTTAGTGTCTTACGGTCATCATTTGGAATAGAATTTAAACAGTTATTTAGCCATGTGTTGCGAGTTTGTAAAAATTTCATGCGAAGTTCTGATTCAGAGAATATCTCCATTCGCCTTAAATAGGCGACCAACTGAAGACACTTTGGAAGCTGAATACCTAATCGTAACTGTTCTAATAATTTATTTAACATGACCAACCACAGTTTTTCGACGTCGTCCTTTATTGCCTAAAAGAAGTAACACGTCGAATCCCTTAGAAATTCAAGTAAGAATAGTAGGTGCCAGCATTTATGTGTAGGGCTGTTTATAAATTACGTAACGCAAATGGTCAAAAACTGATGAATTTTGTGTTTCCTAATTTATAAATAGTATCTTTGTGTTTTTTGTATTACCAAATTATTTGAGAGTATTTGGCAACTTTGCGTTGAAAATGTGGGGAAATTACAATGACAGGCGTCAGTTTGAAAAGATTTTTGTAACGGAAATTATTGAGGGACGGTTCTTGTGAATTGAACATTAATTGTACTTTATATTTTGTGAATAATGGGTGCTTATCTGATGTATAAATTAAGCAGAATTTATCCGTGTTCAAATCATTTACAATAAACAATTTTGTGAAGATACATTTAGTTGGCAAGCAATACATTGGGAGTGGGGTGTTGTGAGTAAAGTGTATAAGTACTGTTGAAGACTTTGAAGTGCCTGAAAATCTACCCTTTAGAATTATAACAGGTACCTATATAGTGTTTAACATTTCTAATTAACAATAGTTAAGCTAGATTTAATAAAACTTCTAATTTATAACTCTCATTGATTAACCTGTTCCTGTTCCTGTTCCTGCGTTGTCAGTATTTAATGAAAATTGTCCACGTAGTAAGTTTTAAGTTGTGTCCGATCATAAGAAAATGTTTTTAATGTGTAAAATACCCACCTTTAATATTTGTATGTCAGATCGTTTGAAACATAGTCTCCTAACATAGGACGCTAACTCTAATGCATCTTCATAAAAGCCTCCGTTTATGAAAGACTCCATTAGCTGTGGTAGTTCTAAAATTTCGAGTAATTGGGCATTTCTGGTAAGTGTGAGTGAATTAAGCTTCCGAATACTGTTTATATCTTTCGTTTTATTGAGAAAGTTCTCAAATTGTTTTTCAAATTGAGGGATGTCCAGTAACAATGTTCCCAGCTTGTTCTCAATTAATGTAAACTGCCCAAATAGTGACTGAGAACATTGAGCCGTCTCTAAGAACACTTTATAGTTTGAGACAGCCAATTCTTGAATCTGATCTTCTAACAGGTGCTTCTCATCATTTAATTTTATCGGTTCCTTTTGCAACTCTTCAGCTGTTAAAGACCCTACTCTTGATATGTAATCTTTGAGGGGGGAACTATCTATCCATTCAGCTGAAACATTACGTACGTTAGGATTTTTATGATTAAGGTTTAATTTTTCATTGAACCTACATGGGTATCCATCTGGAAACAGTAAATCTTGTAAACGTTCTTCTTCTGACTCCATTTTCAAATTCTCGTTTTTTATTATAAACACGGTAATTTAATGAAAACTATTATCGTTTTCACAAAATGTTTATTTATTTGTAGGTACCTACCATATATTTGCTCTTAATTAGTCGCCGCATGTATTATTTTTTATTACAACCAGTCATAGTGATCGTCGTTATTATCCATAATTCTTGTTGATTATTTATCATATTATATGTTGTCAGATGTTGTCTACTGTTTTTTTACGTTATACCCATTATAGGGTACTTATTACCAACCATAGGATAGGGAATTCCCTGAGGAAGTGGATAGGTGCCCTCAACCGTGTAGTGTGCACAGTGCTCAGCATAATCTATAATTCACAGTACTTTTCTGTTCCTTACACCGTGCATGGGACACGTGTTTTAATATTGTCATATTATCTCGCCACCATAGCGGTGCTAAGATTGGTTCAATAACATCCCCTTATTGGTTTGGCGAATACGCTTAAAATAATAAGATTACGGTAGGAGAAGACACACTCACGAAGTGAATCATAAGATTATGAAGTGAGCATTGCTTCCATTTATTTCTTACTCGTGAGTGTTGTCTTTTCCTACCTTAACCATATGATCCAGAGTATCCGTCAAATCAGTGAGGGTATACTAGTGAACCAATCAGATCGCTGTATTTCAGATATGGTACAAAGATGCATGATGAAATTAATGCATGCCTAAATACGTTTTTCAAATCTTTCTGTCGGTGTAATGCGAAATTGAAAAATAAAATTAACTGAATATCTTCAGTATGTTCCTGAGCTCTTCTGATTTTGTTTATTTTGATAATGTTTAAAATTAAAACTATTATTTAAATATTAAAATTGAGAAACCAATTCATCATTATTATTAAGGAAAACAATTTCACTATGTTTGCATACATACCTATATAAATCAGGTTTATCAAACGTTAACATTTTCAATTAATAAATTTACAAATATTTACAAAGTAAATTTTTTTTATAATGTACCTACTTCTATAACTGGAATTAATAATTTAAAGGCATCCTTAATGTATGAACTGCTGTTTGCAGCCTGAAAAATATAAAATGGTAGTAAAAATGATTTTCATAAGTTATTTAATTAATAGGTACCTCAAAGTAAACATTCGTTATTTGATTTTTTACATCTATATTGTCCATTTGGTCTTTGGTCATTGCTTTACAAAATTCAGAAGCTATGTAACCAACGAAACTTGTCAGGATGATGGTAATCCTAAAATAAGTATAAATAAATACATATATTGAACTTAAGCCTTAATTGCTCTAACTTACTGAACTAAACTGTCAGCCTCATCTGCAGTGCTTCTATGTTGTTTTGTTAGTAGCAATTCTGCACTTTTATGAAACTGTTCTACTGCAAGTACTGTTACTTGAGCCAAGGTGTTAATTGCCTTCTCATGGATATCTTTACAACTGAGATTGGAGGTGTTCTTCATCCATATTTCAGCATCTTTCCAGACAGATATTAATTTATCATATGATATTAAAATACCCAGTTCGGAAATGCATTCTTTAAGTTTTTGTACAACTTCTTCTGCATGTAATTGCTCATCATCATCTTCGGGTAATTCACATAGTTCCTGTATTTGATCAATGGTCTCTTGTAGTTCCACTAAATCTTCACTTGAAGATGATTCAAAAACAGACCTAAGTTTAATGTTACATTGTTTTGAGAGCATCTCTAAAGCCTCTAAGTGAACCAACCCATGGTGATCATCAAAGAGAGTTTCATAATTAACATATTTTCTATTGGGCTTTTTCTCTTTATTCTCTTCTTGTGATTTTTCTTTTGCTTCTCTTAAAACTTGGGAAAGATTAAGTTTTTCTGAATCCATTCTTAAAAATGCCCGTTTCTTCTTTAAACCTGGGTCACCTTCCTGTAATACTTCCATTGTTTTCTTTCCAATTGTTTCTAAAGTATCTAAGCCACCACTAATTACTTTATTGCTAGTGCTTTCTACCAGTTTTGTAATCTGAGTAACACCTGTTAGCAAAGTTTCAAAGTTAAAAGCCCTTGGTTGGCATTGATTGTCTACTACAGCAGGAACAGTTTCATTTTTAAAGTTGTCAGTTATATTTTCATTAGAACTCTCTTTTTCTTCTTTATTCATTTTTGCAAGTTCTTCTGGATCAGGTATTCCAATTCCACTTTCTAAAACATTCGATATTCCTTGTGTGACTTGATTGGTGATGGTTGAAACACTGGAGGAAGCTGTAGAAAGCAAAGAAGTTACTCCCCAACTACCCCAGTCACCCCATGATCCACTATTAAGTTTACTCTCATTAGAAGTTAATATTGATTCTGTAGTTTTATTTGAGGTACTTTCTTCATTTGAAACTGATTCCCATTGACCCCAATCATCTTCCCATATGTCTTTACTATCCTCTAATAAGTTATTTTCTTTTGTTAATAGGTTTGTCTTGGTATCAATTTCTGTTTTATCTTTAGGCCCTCCACCGTCCCATTTGTTTTTATCTTCTTCTAATGTGCTTTCTTCTTTTATGTTACAGTAGTTATTTTCTTTTGTTAACAGACTTTTTTTAGCATAAATGTCTATTTCAGCTTCATTAGACCAATCATCTTCCCATATGTCTTCATTTTCTAGTAATCTCTCTTTCTTCAAGTTATTAGAGCCATCTTCTTTTGTTAGTAGATTTTTGTTGGTGTTAACTTCTTCTACACTTGCTTCAGATAATTGCTTCTTAGTATCTTTAACAGTAATATGATCTGTTTTATCCCACTGCTTATTTTCCCATGCACTTACATCACTACTGAATTTAGTATCTACGATTTCTTCATTATCTTGCTTGAGCAAATTGGAAGTATCAGCAGTGTCTAGTTCAATATTTTGACGAAACTGTAGACTATTGTTATTATCTTTTGTTAAACAGTTTGTTATTATATTGTTTTCTGTTATGTCCTCTTCAACATGATCATTTAGAAGTTTATTTTCCTCCAAGCAGACTGTTCTGTTGTTTGAAATCTGATCTTCTCTTACATTTAGGGAATTTATATTTGAAGAAGTTTTATGGGGGCCTGCTCTAGGAGAGCTTTCTTCACTAATGTCTTCATCTGCACTTTCAAAGCAGTCACTATCTGACGTTTCCATATTTTACTCTTATATTTTTTAATCGTCAAATGGACTTGGCAAACAGTATGTAGAACTTAAACGACTAATAATAAAGTGATAAAAATGAATTTGCAAATTTTAAGTTGGAACAATAATTTTTTTGACAAAGACTGTGATTTCGACTTGACATTTTTACCATATGCATTTATGGTACAAATACATATAAATACACGTGACCACAGAAAAATAATACTACGTAATACGTTATACCATTTAACTTACGTCTATGAGCATAGGTAAGGGAGGTTTATGAGTTTTCATATTCTATAAGGGAATAAGATTAAAGATGAGTTTTAAGTGCATCGGTTCGGAAGTTACATGTGCAACGGAAATCAATGAATAATTTACAGAAACTAATAAAGTCGAAAGTTATTAATAATAACAGCTAACAATTCTTTTAACTAAACACAATAAAATATATAAAAGTATCGTTTTATTCAGCTTTGTTTTATAAAAGATGTATAAGTTTTAATCAAACTTTCAGTAGTACGTGGGATAATAAGTTTTAGTGCGGCCAAGAAATGTTTCATTTCGATTTTTGTTGTTTGGAGATCTTCTTCTAGCGCTTTCATAGCAGCTTCGTTACAGATCGCATTTATTTCAGCACCAGAGTAAACCTCAGTTTTCTCAACTAGTTCGTTTATATCTACATTTACAACCTAAAATAGGGCGTAATAGGTAAAACCAGTCCCACAAGTAAATTTATGTAGATTAGATTACCGGCATTTTGGACAACTTTATCTTAAATATCTCTAATCTTGTATGGGAGTCGGGTAGAGGAACGTATACAATCCTATCCAATCTTCCGGGTCTTAAGAGTGCCTTGTCAATTCGATCGGGTCTATTTGTTGCTGCAACAACGGTTACGTCTTCCAGTGGAGTGACACCGTCTAGTTCTGTAAGGAGCTGAGTTAAGACTCGCTCTTGAACATTGGTTGTACTCCCAGAAGATCTTTCACCACCAATAGCATCAATTTCGTCAAAAAAAATTATCGCCGGGGCAACTTGCCTAGCTTTCCTAAACACCTCTCGAATTGCTCTTTCCGATTCTCCCACCCATTTGCTAAACAATTCAGGACCTAAACTGAAAAGTGAAGATTAATAAGGAACAACTGATACATTATTGTACCTTTTATAGAAATAAAGTTTAAACTGCTTTCTGTAGCAAGTGCTTTAGCTATCATTGTTTTCGAGCATCCAGGAGGCCCAAACATTAAAACTCCCTTTGGAGGAGTTACACCCATCCTCGCAAATATTTCGGGATGCTTTATTGGCCATTCTACTGACTGTTTTAGAATCAGTTTTAAAGTTTCTTGTCCTCCAATGTCTGCCCATTTTACATTTGGAACCTGAAGAAGTAATAGACCAATTAATTGTCCGCCCAAAATCGAAGTACCTTATCTTACTTCAATTTGTATCTCCCTCATAGCGCTTGGGATAGTTTTAGTCAAGCCATACTTCAGGTTTTCTAAGGTGATTGCAGGATTTTGCATTCTAACTGCGTGTAGTGCAGCTGTGGAACATAAAGATTTCAAATCTGAACCTACGAAACCATGGGCTGAGCTAGTAATAGAAGTCAGCTCTTTATCTGAGATGTTAGCAGTATCTATCAATATTTTCTTAAGAATTTCAAATCTTTCCGTGGGACCAGGAATCGGGATTTCAATTTCTTTGTCTAATCGTCCACTTCTTCGCAAAGACGCGTCAATGGAATCTAATTTATTTGTTGTTGCAATTACGAAAATTTGAGCGTCTTGCGTGTTCCACAAATCTTCAAATATTTTGAACAAACTAGCCGATATACGTTTTTCATTTTCATTCAGTTTTGATGTTTTTGCAGGGCAGAGGGTATCTATGTCATCAATTATAATAACAGAAGGAAAGCAAGTTGCGGCTTCTTTATAAAAGTCATTTACATTTTCTTCTGGACTATTATCCTTCTTGCTGTAAATTTCTATCATACTGATATTAACAATATGTGCACCGCTATCTTTTGCTAACGCGTTTGCTAGTAGTGTTTTGCCTGTACCAGGTGATCCATATAGGACAATACTTCTAATTATTTGTAAACCAGGAATGAATGTTGATTTTCCTAATGCAATATTTAAAAGTTCTTTAACTTCGGTTATTTCTTTATCTAGACCGCCTACATTTTGTAAATCGTTTTTCGGATACGTTTCTTTGATGAATTCGTGTTCGGTACTATTACAAACGACAAAAATTGCGGAAATTTAAAAAAATTGAGTATTATTTTTTAGTCAAACTTACCAAAATAATTTCCATTTGGTTTTATTACAAACATTGAAAAAAACAGAAGTATTTTCGACAATTGATAATTTCTTGAATTCGTCTTCTATTGTAGATTCGAAGCTATTAATGTGTACAATTTTAAAGTGAATAGTTTTTCCAAAAAATAAGACGTTGATTGTATTTCCCACTGTTAACAATTTGTTTAGATAGATATTTTGTATTCTATTAATTAATTCCGGTGAGATTTGAATATTGAGATTATTTATCGGGATTATGGTAATCTCTTTGGCATCTGCTTTGCAATTTAATTTTGAAAGTTTTACGAAATCAGAATCTTGACCTGAGAAAATATCCATTCCTAAAAATTTAAGACATAATACTTTTGACTAGATTGTAAATGATGCGCACCTTTTTTAGTTAATATAATAGATGTAAGTGATTTTTCACTTGAAGGCCATACCAGTTTTGCGAAAGGGGAAGCATTTTTTCCTAATATTTCTATTAACGCCCATTCACCTATACTTAAACCACATATTTGTATTATGGATTGACTTAAAAACACAACAAATTCATCATTTATTGAAGAATTGTTTGTTTCTTTGTCGGATTTTAATTCTATATTTCCATATAAACTATTTTTATAAACAAAAGGGTAAGATATGTTGGAAGGAGAACATGGACAAGTAGTTTCGTGTTGCTCTCTGTACTTCTGAGCAATGATAACACCGCAAACAGCACATTCAAAAAACTGAGTTTTTTTTGGCGGCATTTCAATAACAGTTATAAGATACAAACAATAAACGCCTTTTTTTAAACAAATGAACACAATATTTCCACCAACATGTGTTTTAATAACCAAGCAAACCGTTTAAGAATCTAAATTACAGAAGTAGTTTGATAGCAGTTACATTTAAATTAATCGTCACAACTAATTTTATTACTTGCAGTACATTATTAATATACAATAAGTTACTGCAAGGTTAGGATTTGGGACCGTCAGCTGTTTGCGTGTTGCACGTGGTCATGAAGTTTCTATTGTTTGGGGAGGGGGGTAGACACTAAAAATAGATTTAAAACTCCCGAAATTTTGACGATACTCAGCGACATCTAAGTTTACCCTACATTAGTAGACGATACTTGGAATATATTTATAAATGGTACTGACATAGAAAACTTCGAATATTCACTGCCATCTATACATGAAACTATGAAGCATAACTTAAGGCGCGCATTTCGAAATTACATCAAATTTTAGTTAATCTATTTCTTCTTGTTACAATAAGATTTTCAATCTATTTTATTTTTAAATGAAAATATAAGCGTCAAAAAATACATTCATAGGTTTTTATTTTTTACTGTATACAATTAATCGACACTACTGCCACAAAAAATACCATATAAAAGTGAAGGAAGTAGTATTGGTAAAAATTTTGTTATTCTTGCTATCCGTTCAACTAAAATATAAAAATAACTATCTTGTATCAGCCTCATATAAATTTAAAAATTATCTGAGTCACAATAATTTATTATCTAGTTCTTAAAAATGGAAAATTAAACAGCTTTAAGCGATGGAAATCAAAGGTAAATAATGTCGTAATGTCCTGGGCGATACAATAAATGTATACTTGGTGGGACTCCTTCTGGTAGATCATGTTCTGTTACTGTTTTACTGTTAGTTCGATCCATGTAAACCACACGACAACCAGTGTTAACTGCAGCACATGCCGCCATAATGTGGATGTGATCACTTTCTTTATACATTGGCTCCACTTCTTGATGACAAAAGTCTGCTATCTAAAAAAACTTAACTATTAATTATATGTAATATAAAAAAATGACAAACTTACTGATCTACCGCCTTCAATAAAGCAGCTATAAAATTCTTGATCTCTTTGAAGTTGACCGCTTGTTAGTAATCTTAAGTAGACAACTATGTAATCAGAATAACCTTGATCGTTGAATAATCTATGTAATTCTTGCTTAGCTTCTTCAACATTTTTTATATCACCTATACGATTTAATACTTCCATAAACTGTAAAAACCTATTGTCTTTTAATTGAAGAAACATATAATGAGTTTCTTACAGTGTCGTAGAAATCTTCAACTGTAAATTGGGGAAACCCTAAAGCCACTAAGCCATCTTTACTGGCTTCGGCAACTTTATAGAAATTAATAAAGTCGTCGCGATCATACAACAGTCTTTCTAAATTAGCGTAACTAAAAGAACGAAAAAAGCAGTTCCCATCGGGTCGAGTTTTTCGAACAAATCTGTATTTTGAGCTGAGATCCTTTATTTTTTCCAAATAGATATCGTCACTGGCATACTCCTTTGCCAGGGTCGGAATTTCACACAATTCGCCTACTAGAGGAATAGCTTCAGAAATCTACAAAACGAAATTGTAAATTTTAATTTATGTAAAAAAAAACATTTTCAAAATAATTTTTACTTCACGCTCTATCTGACGTTGTTGTTGAAGAATAAGATCGTCCTGATTAACAGCCTGTTCATCACCTTCCTTTTTTAATGGTGACTTTTGTAGTTCATCGCCCATGCTGTTTACAAAGATGAAATTTTAACCCTTTATTAATTTAATAAGCTTTTTTGTTCAATAGAAAATGCACTTGTCATTTGATCTAAATCTACTACGATCTTTATATTAAATCATCAAAGCTTTTCTGAGATGGATTCATGATGTTCATGATTCCGAAATACTCGTCACATACAATTCATACACATTCATATAATGTATCAGTGTACATGATATATCTTATGCCACTTATGCTCAATGATGTTGGAAAGTGGTAGAAAGTTTTAGATGAGTGATTCAAATGAACTACTGGTTTTAAAATATTGAATGCTGCAGTTGCAGTTTATTAACTCTTGACGAATGGATATTGAATTTTAGTAATAGGTATTATCAAACTTGTCTTTTATGAATCAATTCAATAATATAAAAGTATAGTACGTGCCAAGGGAAGAAAGTACGGTATTTCCTCTTAGGAGGGGGTGCTATACATTCTTCCTAAGGCTCGTATAGGATTTTGTACCATATCTCTGTCGGGAGGGAGTACCGTACTTTCTTCCTGAGACCCATATACTTGTAGGTCTTTATATATTTTGTAGTCCGTTTGTACAACAAATTAAACTTGATCAATCTTGTTTTATTGTTTATTCGATCTACTCCAATACCATTAGATTTAGTCAGATTTAGTCTTCTGTTTATTTGAACAACTGATTGCGTAAGTTGATTTGTTTTGTGGGCAAAATAATAGGCTTTTATTTTTAATACAATGGGGAAACATTTCGGTGAACTATACCACATGAGAAATATAATTACATACAGATTGTCCCCATTTGAACAGAGGGCTTTTGCGAATGTAATTTCCAAAAGTATTGGAAATACCTTCAGAAGATTCAGAGAATCCGTATTTTACGTTGTTCCACGTGAGTGATTCTCATTTGTTTGTCTTATTTGAGTTAAATATTACTGGCTATTAAGCGTGAGGGGTTGGATATATTCTTTTCTTTTTGTAGCCCTTGTAGGAGCCTATGTGATTTATGATGCTGTAGAAAGAGAACATGATAGATTAATGCGGAAAAATCCAGCTGATTTTGAAAATGAACGTTGAGTCAGTATGAAGTAATGTAAATTAGATCAATGTATATTAGTAGCAATATATATTAAACGTTTTTAAATTAACATTTTTTAGTTTTTGTCTAGGAATCGTAATTTTATTTTAAATTGATATTTACTTGTGCAAACAATCAAGGTCACCTAAATTTGATTTATTTCTTTTAAAGCAAAGCTTTACAAAAACCAAGGTATCATGTATGAGAAAATGCAATTTGTTAAAATGTATATAATCACTGTTAATTGATAATTGGCCATATCAGTAAAATTCCTTTTCTTTAAAACATGGTAACAGTGCTCCTACACCATAAAAAACTTCTCCGAGCAGAAGAATTAACATCATACTGTCTAAAATATATTCCAATCTTAAGACAGGATGTTGAATGGTGAATATGTAGAGAAGTCCAGTTATGGATACTATTGTCAGAAATACTGCCAGTGTTATCGCTAAACCTACAAAAGAGTAATTTAGCAGTTGTCTTCAAAATTTAGTGTAAAAATAAAAATAAGAAAGCATACCTGCTTCAAATAAATTGGGATTATGTCATCATTGTGTTAAGTAAGTAAACCAGGCAGGTTATGGGTAATAAGAATACATGCACGATCTAAAAATTATGTCCTACCTTTTTTAAAATCTTTAATTTTTTTGTATAATATCAATTTAAGAAGTTCTGACAGTAAAATAGCACCTTGTACAGCAGTATCGCGACCTATGAGAGGAGTATCGATGATACTTTGATATTTTGCGAAGGTTATTATCGAATTGCATGTGGCAGACATAGGATAATAGTATAAATTAACGTACATCAAAACATCAAACACTAATAACGCATCCATAGTAATATATTTTGGATTTTTTTAAGGTAAAGTTGAACAGAAGACATCATTCAGAATAATTGGATAACAGGAACGTATTCTTATTCTTTTTGTTCTTATCTTTTAGTTCCCGATTCTTCTTATTCTTCTTTCTATTTTTAGTTTTCCGTTTCTCCTATTAGGTAAGTATATATATGTTTTATGTAGTTCTGTTATTTGTGTTTACGTTTCCAATGAATTTACAGTATAAATTAAAACCATACTTTTTATTTGGTGTATTGTTGTTATTGTCGATTTTTAATTGTTACTGATGTCGGCCATTATACTTTTTTAATTGTTGCAGTATTGTTGCTGTTGTCGACCATTATAATTTTCAATTGTTGTAGTGTATTGCTGTTGCTGTCGGCCATTACAGATTTTAATTGTTGCTGATCTCGGCCATTATACTTTTTTGAATTGTTGTAGCATTGTTGCTAAAACTAGACGTGTAGCTCCAGAAACCCGCGAAATTTCGAATTTTCGTTCACTTTGTGATGCTGTTTTTTTTAGGCAGACACTGTAGGTATAGGCAAGCCAAAATAGTCAAAACCAAGAAAAGAAGTGAACAGTAAAATAGTACCTCTACCCTCCATAAGTAAAAGTAACTTTTTATTTGAAACTTATCAGAATTGAATAATTATTAACATAAATTGTACTTTTTGTATAAAAGACATTTCTTATTATTTAATAGTTGTTATTAAATGAAGGGTACTCTGAAAATTCTTTTATTTTGTTGTTTTAACATTCTAGATACTTACATAGACTATTATTACAATTTAATGTTATGTATTAATGTTATTGTTTTGTATAATTTTGTAGTTGGAAATTATCGTGTGTACTTTCAACCTCCGATTTTGGAAAGTTTTCGTTTCTTGATAAATTAATTTCTCCCTTGTTAAACAAGATGAAGGTTCCAAATGCATTAAATAAGTTGTGAGCTACCATTGAAAAGAGTTTTATTGTTAGTAATTACGTAGGTGCACTTTCAACTCTCAATCCTCGAATTTAAAAAATTAAAATAAAAGTAAAAACAAGAGGATTTTAAAAATGAGGGTTGCAAAATGCTTACCGGTTACTTCTGTCCATATTGTCGTTGCGTGGGGCTCATTCTTCGTTCCTCATGTGATTATGATAGTATTAGACCCTATAGTAAGGGAGAAACTAAACTTTCATATTGCTTAATTAAAATAAAAGTTTATAATTTTTTAAACTTCAAAATTTATAATTTTTATCTTACAATTTAACTTCAGTCGGTAATATAATATTTACGTAGAAAACTCAACATATAGAAAATATTACAATCTAATAATAACTGGAAATAAAATGAAAGAACATATTTTCTCACTAAAGTAACAAGTAACAGAATTACTTGTAACTCGATAATTTCCACAAACAAACCTCCATATATTGTAGAAATAATTATTTAATGGGTAATATATGACATTTTGTTGTAAACTGGCTATACAAAAAGGTTTAAAAGTTTCGGTGATTTAACGAAGCTACCTGAGGTGCTGATGAGAACTGATGAGTTCGATCCACATCTGGTAGTTTCGATCAACCTGAGCAGTGCTTTAAATTATTTATTTTAAAAACTCATCGATTTGTTTATTTATTACAGTAATAATTTTCAGTTGTTTACAGACTAGAATTGTTTAAATATGTAATAATTTGGTTTACAATTGTCTAAGTAACATTGGAAAGTAAAATTAATTGATTTTCTTCTATTTCAGAGCAGCGAATAAGGAAAATCGGCATCCTGAGTGGGGACATTTGTTACAAAGTGAAATGTAAGTCATTCTTATAATTNTTGTTGTTAAAACTAGTGTATCTAATTTCGAGCGTGATCGTCTGTCATTTATTATCCGAATACTTGCTCTCTTCAACTGTCGTATGCTTGAACGGTCGACCGAGAGAATGAGACATTTTCCTGGTTTTATTATAAATAACAATTAAAACCTTGTTTTGAATATTAATGCGTGATCTGTTTATAAATTAAACTTATTTTAACTTGTATTACAAGGAGAATGTGTTAGCTTCACTATTCTGTAATATGTGGGGTCTAACTTTAAAAATTAACGAATCAAAGCCGAAAGCTCTTTTATTGTTTTGAAGCTATATCATTATCGAGGTAGTTGTAGTGTATTATGAATATTGTTGAATGAGTTAGACTCTTTCTGTAGATGTGAATAATCTAACTCAAATCAAATGTAATTTGACTTTATTCTCCGAATACTTTCACCCTTCGATAGTCCTAACAGCAATTGAAAATAAGTCTTGAAAATTAATGCATTTTTGTACGAAATAAACATAATTGACCTTGTATTACTAAGAGATGTGCTAGTTTCTCTATTTAATAGTGCCTTGGGGCTGATTTCGGAAATTAACGAATCAAAGTTGAAAACTGATTTATTGTTTTAAAGCTTAAATCGGCATCCTGAGTGGGGACATTTGTTACAAAGTGAAATGTAAGTCATTTTTATAATTTCTCCTCGTTCTCTGTGCTATAGTTTCAACGCTTAACAAAATTGTATTGTTTTATTATTTGATATCAATTTAAGAAAAGAACTGTTTGAAAATATTAACAATGTTAAAAACAGAAGTCGAATGTAAACTCTTTCTAATAACATTGCATTAAATTAACTCCTGGTATATACAAATTAATGGCGCTCTCTAACGCAAAACAGCAGAAATAGGACGTCCAAAGAACTTACATTTCTGTAAAATTACAGATTTATGAAATGTCATGCATCAAATAATAAATTTCCCGAACGATAGATACTGACAAAAGACTAGAAAATTTTTATTGAAGAGCAAGCTTCAATATTAATAACCCAGTGTTTGAAATTTGAAAATCCCTATAGCGGCCATTATAATTGTCAATTGTTAATAGGGTCGGCCATCATACTTTTTCTATTGTTGAAGCATTGTTGTGGTAATCGGCCATCAGTATTTTTAATTGTTGCTGGTGTCGNTCTGCTATTATTATACATTGTATGTAATTTACTTTCATGGTGTGATTCAGGCGTGTGTTACAAAGGACATTCGGTCAGTGGTTAGAATTTTATCTAATCATCCTCGTTCCGACATATGGCCTTTTTTATAATCAGATAGTGGAGTGTTATGTTTCTTTGCTGGAAATTATTATTTGACTTTGAATATCATCGTCTATGACGATGAAAATAAAGCTGGTAAAAATAGGGAAAAATGATGGTATTAAAATTGAGACCATAAACGTAATATACAAAATGGCCCAAAAAGTATGCAATATGCACTCCATGGCCAAACCTCAAGTTTAACCGAAAAAAAATTCAAACAAAACCTGTTCCCCATTTTAATATAAGATCGTCTGTGTTATCCAAATTTGATTTACTATACAGAGTGTTTAAAAATAAAAAAAGTAAGGTTTCGTTTAAATGACTCCCATGTGAAATATAGACAGGTTCAATCGAAAAGAGTTATATGAAAAAGTTGTTCAGATTGCCAAAATACGGGGCTATGCAAACAATTTTGTTTACAGTGTAGTTACCGTCCCATATTCAAAGGACGGTAACTAGTATTAATGTGAAATCAACACCAAAGGGGGTTAAAAGTTAATTATTTTTTAAGAAACAACCGCCAATGTATTAGTTTGTCTATTGTGTAATACGTGGGGGCTAATTTCGGAAATTAACAAACCAAACTTGTTCATTTTTGTTTGAATTTTATAAGGCCAAACCAAACTTGAAGGCTCCTTCATTGTTTCAAAACTATAGCATAATTGGGATGGTTATAGCCTTTTTTTAATATTTATTACTATAATATAGCTCTCTTTTTGCTGTTAAAAACAATTTTGCTTTTTTCGGGCGTAATTGTCTATCTTTTATTCTCCGAATACTTGCTCTCTTTAGCAGCCGTATGCTGAATGATCGACCGAGAAAAGAAGACAGTTCCCTGTATTTGTTATAAATTGCAAATAAAGCTTTGTTTTGAATATTTCGTCCTGATATTTGTATGAAATAAACTTTTTTGAATTTGTATTACTAGGGTGGGGGCTGATTTGCGAAATTAACAAATTAATGTTCAAGCGTAATTTTTCTCTCCGGATATCTTCACCCTTCGATAGTCAGCAATTGAAAATTAGTCTTGAAAATTAATGCATTTTTGAATGAAATATACTATATTAACCTTGTAATACTAAGAGATGTGCTACTTTCTCCATTTAATATTATGTAATATTACGTCGAGGCTGATTTCCAAAACTAACAAATTAATGTTTAAAGGATTTTCATTATTTTAAATAAACTCTATTAACGTCCTATTGGCAGGAGATGTGTTAGCTTTTCTGTTTATTAGTTTCTTGGGGCTGATTTCGGAAATTAACGAACCAAAGTTGAATGCTGATTCATTGTTTTAAAGCTTTACGATTATTGTAGTAATTTCTATTTAATATAAAGCAATATTATCTGGGCGGTGATTTCCGAAATTAACAAATTAATATTGAAAGGATTTTCATTATTTTAAACCAATACGATTATCGTGGTGGTTGTGATTTAATTTCGGAAACTAACCACCCATAGTTGAAACACCTTTCTATGTATTAAAGCTATTCAATCATCGAAGTAGTTATAGACTATTTTGATTTTGTTTAAATGAATTAGGCTCTTTCTATCGATATGAAAAGTCTAACACAAGTCAAGCTTAATTTGTGTCTTATATTCTCTGAATACTTTTACCCTTTGATAGTCCTAACAACAATTGAAAATTAGTCTTGAAAATTAATGCATTTTTGTGTGAAATAAACTTTATTAACGTTGTATTACCAGGAGATGTGTTAGTTTCTCGGTTTAATATTATGTAATATTATGTGGGGGCTGATTTCCAAAATTAAGAAATTAATGTTGAAAGCATTTTCATTATTTTAAATAAACTTTATTAACGTTGTATCAGCAGGAGATGTGTTACTTTCTTTATTTAATAGTGCCTTGGGGCTGATTTCGGAAATTAACGAATCAAAGTTGAAAACAGATTCATTGTTTTAAAGCTTGATTATTATTGTAGTGGTTGTGCTCAACTTTTAATACTTTTTTAATAGAAAAAGGTTCTTTTTGTTGTTAACATTAGTGTACCTAATTTCGAGCGTGATCGTCTGTCATTTATTATCCGAATACTTGCTCTCTTTAACAGTCGTATGCTGAACAGTCAACATAGAAAACAAAACAGTTCCCTGGATTTGCTATAAAGTGCAAATAAAGTTTTGTTTTGAATATTAATGCGTGATCATTGTACAAAATTAAACTTTTTTGAATTTGTATTAGAAGGAGAATGGTGTAGTTTCTCTATTTAGTAGTATGTGGGGGCTGATTTCCAAAATTAACGAAATACTGATGAAGGCTTTTTGTGTATTACATTCATCTTTAACAACTTTCAAAGTAATTGTTTAACAGGTCGAAAAACCAAACTCATTTTAGTGAAACCTCGTATATTGGCTCCTTTGGTACGTCTTGTTTTTTTTTATATCGTTTTATTTATCGAATAAACGTTTTTTTACTCTTTCAAGGCGATGTGTATTTATCTGTGTTTTTTCATGACTGATAAAAGCGAATTTGCTTCATCACGAATGAAAGAAAGAGATAGATATAATGAGTGTGAGAAAGAGATGGAAACTGAAAAATTTCCTGTAAAAGAAAAGTACTTGGGTGTGCAGGTCCGATCTAACACGAGCAATAGAAATTAATATTACAATTTACTGTTATTATTAATTCGGCGCCATGTTAATGGGTAGTATCGAGTGCTATTAATTAATTGAATTATCGCGTTAGTTTTCGTAGACTAGTAAAGAAAACTTATCCGATATCGTGTTGTGCAATCAATGTAAATTTGAAGAGTGATTGGAACGAAAGTTGTACTTAGGATTAGGATTACGAGTGGAGTGGAGTATAAATGGTGAGTTATTGAAATAAGAGTTATCATCCGTTTTGATCATTACTTTGCATGATCGTCATCGTTAAATTTAGTGTTTGTTATCTTTTAAATAGTAAGGGTGCTTCTTAATTATTACATTAGGAATGGCTCAATTTGTTAACAAAGACTGAATCCAAACGCGCAAGTACTAGTTGTTGTATGATTACAATTGTGAACACTGAATTACACAATGGTTTTAATTAAGATTTTCTTTTATTAGAACAAAATATATTTTTATGACCTATCTTTACGAACTTTTGTGAATTACGTAAAAGAATTTCGGTTTTATTAATTAATTTTTATAAAATAACATGTGTACATATAGTATGTACGTAAGTTTTCAAATTCTAAATTTTGTACGACTATTTCAACTTTTTTATATATAACAAAATTGGTTTAATCTTGTTTTTATTAATTTAAGTATTATTTTGGGAGGGTAAACTAAAAAAGTCAGTAAAATTAGTATTTGCAAACATTTTTCAAAAAAATATTCTACAATTTTCTTATAATTTACATTTGTTACCTATCCAATATAAATTTTGTTTAAAATTTCGTATAATAGGCGTGAATAAATGTCTTTTAGTTTAACCATTTCACCGCCATTTGTTTCCGTTTAGTTAATACATATAGCTCGCTCTTAGCAGCCACGCTTAGGTATATTATACGGTCTCTTGAGTAAGTTGTTCCACTCAGATGAACTGCTGATGGCGCCTAGGTGGTTCATTGTATGAGGTGGAGGCTTCGGAAAGAGCGGCTGGATAGCTAGCTTATATAATTTACCGCGACTCCGTATTTATTCTTCTCCCTCAGTGACAGCGTTGAAATGGTCCGGCCTGCAGTTTCGAGAATTCGAAGCTGTAAGTCCGATCATTTCAGCGTTTCACTGGTGGATAAGGATCTGATTTAAATACGGAATGTTTTGCACTTTTTGAAAGATTAGTGTACCTAATTTCTAGCGTGATATCATTTATTATCCTAATACTTACTCTCTTTAACAGTCATATAGTGAACGATCCACCAATGGTACAAGACAGTTCCCTGGATTTGTTATAAATTGCAAATAAAGCTTTGTTTAGAATATTAATGGTCTTTGTATAAATTAAACATTTTTGAATTTGTGTTACAAGGCGGATGTGTTAGATTCTCTATTTAGTAGTACGCAGGGACTGCTTTCTGAAATTAGCGAAATTAAGTTGAAAGCTTTTTCATTTTCTTAAACCTATACGATCATCGAGTTGGTTGTGGTGTAATTTCAGAAAATAACTACTCAATGTTGAAAGCTCTTTTACTGTTTTAAGGCTATACGATTATCGAAGTAGTTGTGGAATATTTTGTAGTTTTTTAACTGAGTGATGCTCTTTTTGTCTATATTAATAGTGTAACTCAAATTAAGCGAAATTTGTATCTTATATTGACCGAATACTTTCACCCTTCGAAGTCGATTGAATACTAGCTTTGAAAATTAGTAAGATTTATGCATAAAATAAACTTTATTAACGTTGTATTACCAGTAGATGTGTTAGTTTCTCTATTTAATAGTGCTTTTGGCCTCATTTTTGAATTTAACGAATCAAAGATGAAAGCTGTTTCATTGATTTCAAGCTTTACGATCATCGTCTTGGTTGTGGACTACTTTTAATATTTTTTAAATAGAAAAAGGATCCTTTTGTCGTTAAGATTATTGTACCTAATTTCGAGCGTGATCGTCTGTCATTTATTATCCGAATACTTGCTCTCTTTAACAGTCGTATGCCTGAACTGTCGACCGAGAGAATTAGACAGACCCCTGGATTTGTTATAAACTGCAAATAAAAATTTGTTTTGAATATAAATGGCTGGTCTTGGTATAAATTAAACTTTTTTGAACTAGTATTACAAGGAGAACGTGTTAGTTCCTCTATTTAGAAGTACGTGGGGGCTGATTTCCGAAATTAACGAATCAATGTTAAAGGTTTTTTCGTTATTTTAAACCTATACGACTATTGAGGTGGTTGTGATGTAATTTCGGAAAGTAACTACCCAATTTTGAAAGTTCTTTCACTGTTTTAAGGCTATTCCATTATCAAAGTAGTTGTAGACTGTTTTTTTTATGAATTAGGCACTTTTTGTTGATTTGAATAATATAACTCACATCCAGCTTAATTTGTATCATATGTTCTCCGGATACTTCCTCTCCTTGATATCCCAAAACACAAATTAAAAATTTGCCTTGTAGATTAATGCATTTATGTATGAAATAAACTATGTTAACGTTGTATTACTAGAAGATGTGTTAGTTTCTCAATTTAATAGTGTGTGGAACTATTTTCCGAAATTAACGAATCAATGTTGAAAGCTGTTTCATTATTTTAAACCTATACGATTATTAAGGTGGTTGTGGTCTGATTTCCGAAAGTAACCACCTAATTTTGAAAGTTTCTTCACTGTTTTAAAGCTATTCCATAATCAAAGTAGTTGGAGACTATTTGGAATGTTTTTAAATGAGTTAGGCTTTTTTTGTCGATATGCCTAATTTGTATCTTATATTCTCTGGATACTTTCACCCTTCGATAGTAGCATTTTTGTATAAAATAAACTTTATTAACGTTGTATTACCAGGAGATGTGACAATAATTTCTCTATTGAATAGTGTTTTGGGCCTGATTTTCGAAATTAACGAAGCAACGTTGAAAACTGACTCATTGTTTTAAAGCTTTACGATTATTGTAGTGGCTGTGCTCAGCTTTTAAAATTTTTTAAATAGAAAAAGGATGTTTGTGTTACACACGTTAGTGTATCTAATTTCGAGCGTGATCGTCTGTCATTTTTTATCCGAATACTTGCTCTCTTTAACAGCCGTATGCTGAACAGTCGGCCGATACAACAAAACAATTCCCTGGATTGTATAACTTAAACTTTTTTGAATTTGGAGAATGCGGTAGTTTCTCTATTTAGTATTACGGGGGCTAATGTCCGAAATTAACAAAATACTGATGAAAGCTTTTGTGTATTACATTCACCTTTAACACCTTTCAAAATAATTGTTTAACAGGTCGAAATTTCAGTTGCGCTTTTCTATGTTTAACATTTCTACGTAGTTTTCGTCGTAATTGGGTGTCCAGGTCCGATCTAACACGAACAATAGAAATTAATATTACAATTTACTGTTATTATTAATTCGGCGCCATGTAAATGGGTAATATCGAGTGCTATTAATTAATTGAATTATCGCGTTACTTTCCGTAGATTAGTAAAGAAAACTTATCCGATATCGTGTTGTGCAATCAATGTGAATTTGAACAGTGATTGGAACGAAAGTTGTACTTAGGATTAGGATTAGGATTAGGATTCAAGTGGAATGGAGTATAAATGGTGAGTTATTGAAATAAGAGTTATCATCCGTTTTGATCATTACCTTGCATGATCGTCATCGTTAAATTTAGTGTTTGTTATCTTTTAAATAGTAAGGGTGCTTCTTAATTATTACATTAGGAATGCCTCAATTTGATAACAAAGACTGAATCCAAACGCGCAAGTACTAGTTGTTGTATGATTGCAATTATGAACACTGAATTACACAATGGTTTTAATTAAGATTTTCTTTTATTAGAACAAAATATATTTTTATGACCTATCTTTACGAACTTTTGTGAATTACGTAAAAGAATTTCGGTTTTATTAATTAATTTTTATAAAATAACATGTGTACATATAGTATGTACGTAAGTTTTCAAATTCTAAATTTTGTACGACTATTTCAACTTTTTTATATATAACAAAATTGGTTTAATCTTGTTTTTATTAATTTAAGTATTATTTTGGGAGGGTAAACTAAAAAAGTCAGTAAAATTAGTATTTGTAAACATTTTTCAAAAAAAATATTCCACAATTTTCTTATAATTTACATTTGTTACCTACCCAATATGAATTTTGTTTAAAATTTCGTATAATAGTCGTGAATAAATGTCTTTTAGTTTAACCTATTCACCGCCATTATTTTCCTTTTACTTAATACATATAGTTGGCTCGTAGCAGCTAGCGTTAGGTATCTTATACGGTCACTTGAGTAAGTTGTCTCACTCAGATGAACTGCTGATGGCGCCTAGGTGGTTCATTGCATGAGGTAGAGGCTTCGGAAAGAGCGGCTGGATAGCTAGCTTATATAATTTACCGCGACTCCGTATTTATCCTTCTCCCTCAGTGACAGCGTCGAAATGGTCCGGCCTGCAGTTTCGAGAATTCGAAGCTGTAAGTCCGATCATTTCAGCGTTTCACTGGTGGATAAGGATCTGATTTAAATACGGAATGTTTTGCACTTTTTGAAAGATTAGTGTACCTAATTTCTAGCGTGATATCATTTATTATCCTAATACTTACTCTCTTTAACAGTCATATAGTGAACGATCCACCAATGGTACAAGACAGTTCCCTGGATTTGTTATAAATTGCAAATAAAGCTTTGTTTAGAATATTAATGGTCTTTGTATAAATTAAACATTTTTGAATTTGTGTTACAAGGCGGATGTGTTAGATTCTCTATTTAGTAGTACGCAGGGACTGCTTTCTGAAATTAGCGAAATTAAGTTGAAAGCTTTTTCATTTTCTTAAACCTATACGATCATCGAGTTGGTTGTGGTGTAATTTCAGAAAATAACTACTCAATGTCGAAATCTCTTTTACTGTTTTAAGGCTATACGATTATCGAAGTAGTTGTGGAATATTTTGAAGTTTTTTAACTGAGTGATGCTCTTTTTGTCTATATTAATGGTGTAACTCAAATTAAGCGAAATTTGTATCTTATATTGACCGAACACTTTCACTTTTCGATAGTCGATTGAACACTAGTCTTGAAAATTAGTAACATTTATGCATGAGATAAACTTTATTAACGTTGTATTACCAGGAAATGTGTTAATTTCTCTATTTAATAGTGTTTTGTGTCTGATTTACGAATTTAACAAATCAATGTTGAAAGCTGTTTCATTTTTTTAAAGCTTTACGATTATTGTAGTCGTTGTGCTCTATTTTTAATATTTTTTAAATACAAAAAGGATCTTTATGTCGTTAACATTAGTGTACCTAATTTCGAGCGTGATCGTCTGTCATTTACTATCCGAATACTTGCTCTCTTTAACACTCGTATGCAGAACGGCCGACTTAGAGAACAAAACAGTTCCCTGGATTTGCTATAAAGTACAAATAAAGCTTTGTTTTGAATATTAATGCGTGGTCATTGTATAAATTAAACTTTTGTGAATTTGAAGAATGCGGTAGTTTCTCTATTTAGTAGTACTTGGGGGCTGATGTCCGAAATTAACAATATACTGATGTATTTATACTTTTTATACTTTTGGGTATTACATTCACCTTTAACATCTTTCAAAATAATTGTTTAACAGGTCGAAATTTTATTTGTGCTTTTCTATGTTTAACATTTCTACGTACTTTTTTTTGAGTTTTAACAATGAAATATGATTTGCACTGCAATCAAAAACCGTATACAGGANATTAGCAGCAGATGTGTTAGTTTCTCTATTTAATAGTGTATTGGGGCTGATTTCCGAAATTAACGAATCAAAGTTGAAAGCTGATTCATTGTTTTAAAGCTTTACGATTATTGTAGTGGTTATGCTCTACTTTTAATATTTTTTAAATATAAAAAGGATCCTTTTGTCGTTATGAAAAGTGTAGCTAATTTCGAGCGTAATCGTCTATCATTTATTATCCGAATACTCGCTCTCTTCAACAGTTGTATGCTAAACGGTCCACCGAGAGAACAAGACAGTTCCACGGGTTTATTAAAAATTGCAAATAAAGCTTTTTTTTATTATTAATGCATGGTGTTTGGTCTTTGTAAAAATTAAACTTTTTTGAATTTGTATTACAAGGAGAATGTATTAGTTCCTCTATTTAACTTGGGGGCTGATTTCTGAAATTAACGGATTAATGTTGAAGCCTTTTTCGTTATTTTAATTCTATACGATTATCGAGGTGGTTGTAGTGTAATTTCGGAAAGTAAATACCCAATTTTGAAAGTTCATTCACTGTTTTAAAGCTATTTCATTACCGAAGTAGTTGTAAACTATTTTGAATTTTTTTAGATGAGTTAGGCTTTCATTATCGATATGAATAGTCTAACACAAATCAAGCCTAATTTGTATCTTACATTCCGCGAATACTTTCACCCTTCGATAGTCCTAACAGCAATTGAAAATTAGTAACATTTTTGTATGAAATAAACTTTATTAACATTGTATTACCAGTAGATGTGTTAGTTTCTCTATTTAATGGTGTTTTCTGCCTCATTTTCGAAATTAACGAATCAAAGTTGAAAGCTATTTCATTGTTTTAATGCTTTACGATTATTGTAGTCCTTGTGTTCTACTTTTAATATTTTTTAGTTATAAAAAGGATGCTTTTGTTGCTAAGAATAGTGTACCTAATTTCGAGCGCAATCATCAATCATTTATTATCCGAATACTTTCTTTGTTTTACTGTTGTATGCTTGAACGATCGATCGAGCGAACAAGACATTTCCCTGGTTTTGTTACAAATTATAAAAAAGTATTACAAGGAGAACGTGTTAGTTTTTCCATTTACTAGTACGTGGTGGCTGATTTCCTAAATTAACGAATTATTGTTGGAAGCTTTTGTGGTTGTTGTAATGTTATACGATTGTCGAAGTAGTTATTTTGAATTTTTTAACTGAGTGAGGCTCTTTTTGTCTATATTAATAGTGTAACTCAAATTAAGCGTAATTTGTATCTTGTATTGACCGAATACTTTCACCCTTCGATAGTCCTAACAGCAATTAAATATTAGTCTTGAAAATTAGTAACATTTATGCATGAAATAAACTTTATTAACGTTGTATTACTAGTAGATGTGTTAGTTTCTCTATTTAATAGTGTGTTGAGGCTGATTTCCTAAATTAACGAATCAAAGTTGAATGCTGATCTTTTGTTTTAAAGCTTTACGATTATTATAGCGGTTGTGCCCTACTTTTAATAATTTTAAATAGAAAAAGTATTCTTTTGTCGTTAAAATTAGTGTACCTAATTTCGAGCGTGATCGTCTATCATTTATTATCCGAATACTTGCTCTCTTTAACAGTCGTATGCTGAACGATCGACCGAGAGAACAAGTCAATTCCCCGGATTTGTTATAAATTGCAAATAATGCTTTGTTTTGAATATTAATGCGTTATCTTTATATAAATGAAACTTTTTTGAACTTGTATTACAAGGAGAATCTGTTAGTTTCTCTATTTATTAGTATGTAGGGACTGATTTCAGAAATTAACGATTTAATGTTGAAAGCTTTTTCATTATTTTAAACCCATACGATTATCGAGGTGGTTGTGGTCTAATTTCGGAAACTAACTAAAAAAAAGGTTAAAAGATCTTTCACTGTTTTAAAGCTATACCATTATTGAAGTAGTTGTAGATTATTTGGAATTGTTTTAAATGAGTAAGGCTCTTTTTGTCGATATGAATAGCGTAACTCAATTCAAGCGTAATTTGTATTTTATGTGTCAATATTGTAACTTTGAAGAAGCATCCCAAATAGTTGCGAAAGGTTGGTGTTGGTTCTTCATAAAAACCTTCCAACCCTTAGTTACCTGGAACTTTATTTAATAATTAACCAGTTAAAGTTGAAAGTTCTGTCATTGTTGAAAAGCCATACGATTACCGAGGTGGTTGTAACCTATTTTTTATATTTTTAAATATAATAAGACTCATTTTGTCGCTAAGAATAGTGTAACTCTTTTTACGTGTAATTTGTATGTTTTATTATCCAAATCTCTTTAATAATCCTAAACAGTAATAAAAAATTTGTCTTGAAAGTTGATTTCGGTAATTAACAAATCAAAGTTGCTCTTTCATAGTTTTAAAGCTATTCGATTATCGGTGTGGTTGTGATCTACCTGTAATATTTTTTAAATTGAAAAAGGCTCCTTTTGTCGTTTATATTAGTCTACAGTATTTCGAGCGTAATTGTTTATCTTTTATTATCCGAATACTTGCTCTTTTTAACTGTTGTACGCTTGAACGGTCGACCGAGAGAACGAACATTTCCATGATTTTATGAGAAACAGCTATAAAAATTTGCTTTAAAAATGAATGCGAGATTGTTATATAAGGTGAAATTTTTTGAACTTGTATTTCAAGGAGAATTTTACCTTCTCCATTCTGTAATACTGGGGGCTAATTTCGGAAATTAACTACCCAAGTAAGTTGAAAGCTCTTTTATTGTTTTAAGATTATACCATAAACAAAGCGGTTGTAGACTATTTATTANAGCTTTTCTTTGAAACTCATTTTGTTTTCTATTTTTTTTCAAATATGATATTCTTTCAGGCACATCCTCCAGTTTAGTTACCAAATGAGAGCCACTACATCACCGGACCAATTCAAGGAATGTCTTTACAGGAACACTTCAATGAATGGTAGGTACTTATTAATTTTTTTGTTAAACAGTATTCTTTAAAATTCTTTCTTACTTTACCTACCTTGCCCTGTTTATTTTTATTTCTTTACATTAAAATTGAAATGATTTTTTGAAACTAGTTTTTCCTCTTATTTAATGTAATAAGTATTATTAAGAAGTCTTAAGAAATTATTTCATTTTCTTTATTTTAACATTCTTGACTTAGCCCTATTTTCAGACTCTTGTGTTCAGGACTTGTCAAATTTAATATTTTTTCAGGTACATCTGCCAGTTGAGGCACCAAACAGGAACTACTTCAGCAATCGGTCAATTCGAGGATCGTCTTAGAAAGACACTTCGAGGAATGGTAGGCATTTATTAATTCTTTTGTTAACAGGTCGTTTGTATATCTGTTTCTTAGTTTCTATTTATTGTAATTCTTCTTTTTCCGAAATTAACGAATCAATGTTGAAAGCTGTTTCATTATTTTAAACCTATACGATTATTAAGGTGGTTGTGGTCTGATTTCCGAAACTAACCACCTAATTTTGAAAGTTTCTTCACTGTTTTAAAGCTATTCCATAATCAAAGTAGTTGGAGACTATTTGGAATGTTTTTAAATGAGTTAGGCTTTTTTTGTCGATATGCCTAATTTGTATCTTATATTCTCTGGATACTTTCACCCTTCGATAGTAGCATTTTTGTATAAAATAAACTTTATTAACGTTGTATTACCAGGAGATGTGACAATAATTTCTCTATTGAATAGTGTTTTGGGCCTGATTTTCGAAATTAACGAAGCAACGTTGAAAACTGACTCATTGTTTTAAAGCTTTACGATTATTGTAGTGGCTGTGCTCAGCTTTTAAAATTTTTNTGTCATTTAAAATGATTTCCCAAAGCTTCTTTTCTCTTTATTCATTGTAATGCTTTTCTCTGCAATCTGTTTTATTATATTTACCCTTTTCAACTTTTTTGACGTAGACCTATTTTTACACCCTCGTGTTGAAAACATTGGTCAAATTTAATATTCTTTCAGGAACATCTTCCAGCTTAGTCACCAAAATAAGGACCACTACAGGAATCGGCTAATTCGAGGATCATCTTTACAAGGACACTTCGTGGAATGGTATATATTTATTGATTTCTTTATTAACAGATTATTTTTAACCCTCTTTTAGTTACCATTTATTTTACTTCTACTTTCACAACTTTTTACTATCTTCTTTTTACTTATTTTGTCCCTGTTTCTTTTTTATTTTGTCAGTTTTAGTTTAAATTGGTTTCTTGAATCTTGTTCTGTTTTTATAATATTCTTTTTAATTTATACGATTGTCGAAGTAGTTGTAGCCTATTTTTCATATTTCATTTTGAGACTCATTTTGTCGCTAAGAATACTGTAACTCTTTTTAACTGTAATTCGTATCTTTTATTATCCAAATCTCTTTAATAATCCTAAACAGTAATAGGAAATTCGTCTCGAAAGTTAATGCGTTTTTGATCAAATAAGCTTTATTAACCATCTATTACAAGAAGAATGTGGTAGTTCCTGTATTAAATAGTATATATGGACTGATTTCCGTAATTAACAAATCAAAGTTGCTCTTTCATAGTTTTAAAGCTATTCGATTATCGGTGTGGTTGTGATCTACCTGTAATATTTTTTAAATTGAAAAAGGCTCCTTTTGTCGTTTATATNAGGTGCGGTGTCTAGAAAGTACATGGCAGCACTGCTAAACGCTAAAATAAGGAAAATTATAAAAGCAAAAAAAAGCGCTCGTTATATTTCCTGGAGATAAAGAGGATTTGGAAAACACTGAAGGGGTCTAAGTATGTAAAAGAGTGCGTAGAATCTAACGGTGCAATCAGTTTTCAAGTGCGGCGTCTAGAAAGTACTTTCCGGCACTGCTAAACGCGAAAATAAGGAAAATCATAAGAGCAAAAAAAAGCACTCGTGAAATTTCTTGGAGATAAAGAGGATTTGGAAAACACTGAAGGGGTTGAAGTATGTAAAAAAGTGCGTAGAACCCAACGGTATAATCAGTTTTCAAGTGCGGAGTCTAGAAAGTACTTTCCGGCACTGCTAAACGCGAAAATAAGGAAAATTATAAGGGCACAAAAAAGCGATCGTGGAATTTCTTGGATATAAAGAGGATTTGGAAGACCCTGAAGGGGTTGAAGTATGTAGAAAAGTACGCAGCATCTAAAGGTGCAATCAGTTTTCAAGTGCGGCGTCTAGAAAGCACTTTCCGGCACAGCTAAACGCGAAAATGAGGAAAATCATAAAAGCGACAAAAAGCGCTCGTGAAATTTCTTGGAGATAAAGAGGATTTGGAAAGCACTGAAGGGATTGAAGTATGTAAAAAAGTGCGTAGAATCTAACGGTGTAATCAGTTTTCAAGTGCGGTGTCTAGAAAGTACTTTCCGGCACTGCTAAACGCGAAAATAAGGAAAATTATAAGAGCAAAAAAAGCGCTCGTGGAACTTCTTGGATATAAAGAGGATTTGGAAAACACTGAAGAAGTTGAAGCATATAAAAAAGTGCGTAGAATCTAACGGTGCAATCAGTTTTCAAGTGCGGCGTCTGAAAAGTAGTTTCCGGCACTGCTAAACGCGAAAATGAAGAAAATTATGAAAGCAAAAAATAGCGCTCGTGGAATTTCCTGGAGATAAAAAGGATTTGGAGAAGACTGAAGGAGTCTAGGTATGTAAAAAAGTGCGTAGAATCTAACGGTACTATCAGTTTTCAAGTGCGGCGTCTAGAAAGTACTTTCCGGCACTGCTAAACGCGAAAATNAAGGAAAGAAAAGATCTGAATTAAATTAGATGTTGTTCAGTATAAGAAATAAGATTTAATGTAAAAGAAAAAGATTTATTTATTGTTATATTTAACTAAAGTAAATGTACGTAACAGGAAAATAAAAATCTAAATGCATATGCAATAAGTTAAACAAAAGAAAATAAACTATTAAAAAGTGATCAGAATCAAGTTAAGGTATAGGAAAAGAGAGAAAAATTTTGAGTTAATGTCGATTAAAAGAAATAAAATAATAACATTTAAAAGGTAAATGTAAAAGTAAGAAAAGGTGAGTGAAAAAATAAATGAGGTAGGTAAAGAACAAAAGAATAAACTTTGAAAGTACAGAAAAAGAAAAACAACTTCTGAATACGATGAAAAAGAAACACAATTTCTGAAAAATATAAAAAGTAAATAAATGTTAATTACATTTCCTTGGTGTGCCTTCTTCCTTGACTGAGACGACATTGTTGGAATGGATTTGTTTAGTGTAGTCCTTGATATCCTAATGGTTCTGACTGATACCTTCCACTGAAAAAAGGAATGAAACGATCTAAATTAAATTAGATACTGTTTAGCATAAGAAATAAGACTTAACGTAAACGAAAAAGATTTATTATATGTTATATATTATAGTATTTAAGCAAACTAAATTTAAATAAAAAAAATAAAGATCTAAATGCAGATACAGTATATTAAAAGAAAGAAAATTTCATAGAAAAACGACTAAAAAGTGATCAAAATCAAGTTAATATAGGGAAACGTGAGAAAAAATTTGATTTAATGTAAATTAAAAGAAATAAAACAGAATAATTTTAAAAAGTATAAATTCTAAGAAAAGGTAAGTGAAATAAATCAGGAAAGTAAAGAATAAAAGAATAGATTTGCAAGTATAGAAAAAGAGAAACAATTTCTGAATATGGTGGAAAAAACAAATCAATTCTGAAAAATGTAAAAAGCAAATAAATGTTAATTACATTTCCTTGATGTGCCTCTAGCACATCTGGAAATTATTGGAATTGATTTCGCTGATATATCCTTTGATATACTGGTAGTCCTGTTGTTCTCCATTGATGTCCTAACTGGTTGCTGGCCTCGATATCCATTAGCAAGTGGTCCAACTAACTAAAAAAGGAAAATTTTGAATTAGATTACGGTTTATTCGAAGAACTAAGATCTCATGTAAAAGAGAATGACTTATAATATATTAAAGTAAGTCTAAACGTGATAAAAGGATAATAAGACAGAATTAATTAATAAATAAGTGAAATGTTTTGAGTTAATACAAATTAAAAGAAATAAAACAAATGTTACAATGTAGAATTCCAAGAAATGTTACATTTTCTTGAGTGCCTCTTCCCCTGACTGGACTGAGATTAGTAGAATGGATTTTGATGGTCTCATCCGTCCCTTGATGTCCTGGTGGTCTTGATGTTCTCCACTAATCATGATGACCTAACTTGTTGTTAACTTCGATGTCTATCACTGAGTGCTCCTACTAACCAAAAGAAGAATGAAAAGAACTGAATTAAGCTATTGTTTAGTTTAGTGTAAGAGTTAAGTCTTACAGTAAATGAAAATGATTATGTTATCTACTATTAAATGTAAATAAAAAAAAATTCAAAAAATGTAAAATAAAATGTAACCTATGCATCATCAAAGTGGTGATTTAATTTTTTTTTTATGGTAAGAATTACAATCTTTTAGTAACCAAAAATATGCTTCTACGAACGCTTTAATAATA